GGAATTAAAACAGCACATTTCCACCTAAGGTGGATTGAAAAATAGAGTTTTCATCCTGGTAAAATCCTAATACTTAAGACTACTTCTGTTTTAAAATATCCTATTGTTTTGAGACTTCCATAAAAACCTTGGGCCAAGTTGGTATCTTCAAGTGGAATATTCTTGCGGTGGTGAAAATTCAGCAGATCATGACTTCCCTTCAACAGTAAGTACTTCAGTAATTTTTAATTCATTCAGAACAGTCTTGTAGAAAAAGGCATTAAAATGAGATTCTTTTCGGTGCAGGATATTTTAAAATTTCAGTTATATTTTTGCATTATCTAATTTTTTCCTTCTTTTACTTTAAAAGTGAAAAATCTCAGTAATGCTATTTACTACTGTCATAAAAACAAGCCATCTTTCCCATGGTGATTTATATAGCTAGACAGTATGCAGCATGTATCTTAAGTCCTACAAAACTGAAATTTGCACAAAATGGTATTTCTAGGTTACATTTTGACATTATACCAGGAACTATTTGCCATATGTTTGGAAAGGATTAAAAAAGCATTATTCTCACATTAAATAGGGGACTGGGGCTTGCTACTTACCAGGTTTCTATTCATATTTACAGCGTTTTGAGTAATTTCTATTTTGGACATAAGAAACGTCAAGAAATATCTACAGAATATTGGAAACGAGAGGAAAAAAACCTTCTGATACCAAACACAAAAGACAATGCTGCATTTCATTACTATAATTGTTGCATTGAACCAAGCACTTATCTTAGGAATCTACCAGTTCTCAGGAAAAAAACACCAACATTTCATTCATATACATGCAATTTCTCTGGTTTAAAATGAATTTATTTCAAAGAAAGTATCAGTTAACACCACAGAGAGGTTTTTTCCCCTTTGCAAAGCTCTATTGTTTTGAAACACTTGCTGAAAATAGGACTTCAAGGCAGTGGAGGAGAGTCTAAGATGAGTTCAGGAGCTTTCTGTGATTCTGCCCCCCTTGAATCATTAGTATTTCTGAAACTCAAGAAAACTGGGTATTGTGTGAAATAGCTTGAGGGAACAGCTTCAGAACATTAAAATACAGTCCACAGGCAATTTTCTAAAAGAACTCTCCTTACCATAGTTCTGTTCTCCTTTTTAATATTTTAAGCTCGATGCCTTAAGTGATATATGCATTACTGTCAGTATAAAAGTTCTCTTTAGTGCCTTGGCATGAGGGCCCCAGAGTTACCATCTGCTGGGGGCTCCCAGGCGCTTCCCTGAGCCCACAGGGATGCCAGCACATGCCAGGGATGCTGCCAGCTGGGCACAGCAGTTTTTCCTCTGTGTATTCCCACCTTCTTCTGCATGCAGCTATGGAACACTTCTCGTAGGAGCCGTGGCTCTCTGCTCCTGTGCCGGCAGCTCTGGGATGAAAGTGTGGCAGGCACAGGGAAACCCCAGCCAGTCCCACTGCTGCTGTGCCTTCGTGAGCTGAGGGTTAACTCTACCTTATAGTGATGTAAACAGGGAGGAAATACAGTCTTCTCTATAATGCCAGTCTAAGAGAAAGTATACATGAAAAAGAGTAACTAAAACCTAGAGCTTTGGGGCAGGGATGTGGCAGCTTTTAGAGATTTGCGATTTTTTGCTTTTTATTTCTAACATCACCCGTAGGGGTTTGTTTCTTTTTGTGCCAAACAACAATAATAATAGAACCAGAGTTTTAAAATCTAGAGTTCAAAAACATAAACACTTGTAGTTTCTTCTAGGTTTAGAGTAATAAATCCTTGTGTGCATGCATACTTGCAGATAAGTGGGCACAGTTTAACTTGTATGAAAAACTAAGTGTTAGATTAAAACAACTGTTCTCATATCAGTGAGAACTTAAAAATAATGTAAATGCTACAAGTATAAAAGATATGACAAGAAAGGTGTTTCAAACAAAGTCAGTTTTCCAGTTTATTAATTCTGGGAGCTGACTCTCCTCTTTATCACCTTGTTTTAACCACTGATGCCAAAATATGGAAAGCATGAATACTAGCAGCATAGCAAAAAAAAACCCCAAAACCAAACAAAAAGAAAAAACAACCTCTAAATTTTTAAAATTATGATCAGTGAGTAGAATACACAAAGAATTCAGTTTTAAAACCTGAATAAAATAGTATACTATTCAAGAAATAGTATACAATATCATGCTTTCCTAAAATTATCTTTTAGCTTGAAGAATTCAGTCTTGCTAAAACGGAAGGCCAGTTAGATACAGATGAATTTTTACTCACAGAAGCTACACAGGAGAAGAAATTCAGCAGTACCTAAGACCACAATAGTAATAGCAGTGGAACAATGAAGTAACAATTGCCTAGAAACAGCATAGGAGAGTGGAAAACCTAGCCTTGTGCACTGATTTAAATAAAAGCCTGCATGTATGTTGTTAGATCATATTGGAAGTGACATTGTGTTAAGAGGTTTCAGCCATTGAAGTTGTACTGATGTAAGCTGGGGCAGGATTTTGCCCTTCCTACCACATTTATTATACATGTGCTGCTCACTCTCTTGTTTTGCTCCAGTCTGACCTATTGGCTGTCCCTGCTGGCTGGGATGCTGACTTCATCCTTGACCCTGGCTTTCTTCCACACCCTGATTCTCCTGTGGCTGCACATTACAGCTCTCATTGCTTTAGCAATCTATTTTATACTGTAATTTCATCTTCACTGAAGTCTCCCATTAAGGAATCTGATTATTTCAAACTATCACTGAAGCTGTTTGCTTTCCTAATTTGAAATACTTGTATTTTGACCTCAGTGTTTCTCAGTATAAGCACCCTGCAGAAACATTAAAATTAATCCTCTAACGGCCAATTTTAATGCAAAACTACGACAGTTTTCATCTTCAGCTATCCCTACCAGCTCTTCATTGATTGCAGGATGTGTTAAAAAATGTCTTTCCTTGTTTTCCTCCATGGATTTTCTCCAGACTATCTTTTCATCTAAGGCTGGACTTTTCATTCCACCTCTCCTTAGGAAGTAACTTTCATCAGAGCTGTGTGGATACCAAATGCTATCAAGTAAAACTGTTACACACAGCTTTGTTTGTGTTGTATATATGCAAACGCAGATAAAGTCAGCAGAGAATAAGGCCCCACTGGTCAGTGCCATGGAAGAGTACACTGGGATAAACAGACCATTTACAACGCAGAATACCCCTAACTGTATCCAAAGGATGTATTTTGGATAAAAAACAAGAGGAAATTGAGTTTTCTGAGTTGAGAGGGAATTGTTAGGACACAAAGCCTGTGGCTATAAGAATATTGGATATAATAAAGATCAGAAAGGCTGAGAGGCTATGTCCTTCTTCTGGCATGAAAGGCAGTGTTCAGAGTGGAGGGAGGCATTACAGCTGACTTATTTCCTTTCCCTTACTCAAATCTCTGAAGGAAGACACCCTGCTAAGTGGTGTGTTTCCACAGCAGCTTCACGGTTCTTGCCAGAAGAACAAACATGAAGACTTCAGCTCTCCCCAGCCAGTCCAAATGAGCACTGTAGTGTTCCTGTGAGTTCCCAGCCCCCCATTTAGCACCACTGTCTCCAGCCTGTTCTGTCCTTTGTTAGCATTTTATCAGCATTGTTTACAAAACTGCTTCTGTCTGTCAAAAATCCTTTTCTCAGTCCTTCCATCCAATCCTATTGCTTTCCAAGTTGTTTTCAAAATCATTATAATACCGGTTTCTGAGCGACTCCTTGTACTTTGACAAAAATTTCAGTTAACAGAGGGTCAAAAGAGAGAATATGAGAGATTTCTGTGTCAGGGAGCAATGTCTGAGAATGCCATGGACTTGCATAAAAGTCAGTTTGGTACACATTTGTACCAGAACCAGGGACATTTCAACATCCCATGTTTGTTGAATACATGCATTGGTCAGTAGGTAGCTGACAACTCCTTTGGACAAAATATGAACAGCAACCATTGCATCCCTCATGCCTCTTTCAGGGAATGCTAGTAGAAAATCTACTTTCAGTTAGGCAAAATATCTGGAGCACTTCCTGTGCTACTTGTGAATTAAATTAATTTTTGGTTTCTTCTTAACATTAGATATTTTAGAAATGCCTGTTGGACAACAGTATTTCCATTTTCACAGGTGTTTTGGTCTTGCTGCTTTCTTGAATAATGACATAACTTTTGATCAATTTAACTCATAGTTTCCATGTTTTGTAGCTGTAATAAGAAGCAGTTTCATAATGAGCACACATGTTTCTGTGGCTTGCATACCACAGAGTGAAGAACAGAACTAAAATCAGAATATAGTCACCAAAAGCCTCCCTGGAAAGCTCATGTGCAGCAAAACCCACTACTTGGAGCACGCTCACACCAAATTACAGCACTAAAATACTTCCTCACTGAGAATATGAAAGGGATCCACAGACTCCAGAAATGGTGTTGTGTAGGAGGAATTTTGAAACAACTAATGTGTCCTATATACCTTCCCACAAAAAACATTACAGCAGAAAGCAAGCAACCCAATATAGACAAGGCAGTGTCACAGGCACTATTCTAGGTGAGTTTCTATGCTTAAAGGAACATTAGAAGGTTGAGGCACTTGAGGGCTCAAAAAAGTTCATTTTTAAGTGAGTTTCCTGCTATTCCAGATGCAGCCATGTGCTATTTGGTCCATTGCCTCACCTGTCTGGAGAGGGCTTGTCTGAGACACCTGAACAAGTAACTTGGAAACAAGGAGAACGTGGCTCCCACTTATTTGCCAGAGGTCACAGTAGACTGGAAACATGGCATGCTTTTCCATGCAGGAGAACGTGGCTCCCACTTATTTGCCAGAGGTCACAGTAGACTGGAAACATGGCATGCTTTTCCATGCAGGGAGGAGGAGAAGCAGAACTGCCTTTCCACATGATCACATCCCTGCCTTCCCTGAGCTTGAGAAAAGCCTCAACCCAAAAAAACCAAACAAAAACAAACTCCAGACAATCGTCTTTAAAAATCAGTCAAGTCATAGCAAACTACTCACAAGAGAATTCATCCTTGGAATTTAATACAGAACAAGCTCTGCAGTGCACCAGTACACACTTTAAATAAAGTCTTTCCAAGGCATTTTATCCTCTCTGAAAGGAAAAAAAATCCAAAGCAAAAAAACAACAAAAAAAGGCTCAATATTCAAATTCAGTACTGTAATTCCTACAGTAGCCAGTAAGTACTGCAGTAGCTTTGGAGGCAGCAGACTTGGAAATATGACTACTTTCAGTATAAAAGATTACAATAAATTAATTATTTTTTCTGAGATTTTAGTGTTTTTTCCCCAAGGAAAAACTGAAGTGGTAGCAGAAGAAAGTTACAAGTATATCACACTCCAGAGCAAGGAATTCTTCCAATTTACTGCTGGGCTGTGAGAGCCTAAAAGTTAGGGTGTTTAATTTCTGAAACTAGGATATGTGGTGCCCAATTTTAATTTCTATATTTGCTTCCTTTGGCCAAAGAACCTGGGAGTCTGAACCAGGAGCACAGACATTTACATGCAAAGAAAGCTGCCAGGCTGGAAACACCTGGGTCAAAACCTACCTGGTCTGAAAGGCTTCCATGGAGAGTCTCTGCAGTACATCTTTGCACTGGAGGAGAGAGGTAAAGGGAACCGAGATGAGTGTGACATTTCTCCCTCAGTAAAATCTACCTATAATAACCTAGGGATAATATAATCTTGGAGTGCTGGGAGGGACCTCACCAGCCAGGACCTGAGCAGGGCAGGCAGGAGACAGCCCCACACCTCTCTGTCACCCCCCTGGGCACAGGGACAACCCAGGACATGAGCCCACAACCAAGGAGGGCTGGAGGGAGCAAGAGAGCAGCACTGTTACACCACCACCAAAACCCAAGTCAATGAGCCCAGGCTGGGCTGAAACAGGGAGGTGGGCAGGGTGGGGAGAGGCCCCAGGTGGGGAAGACCAGGCCCATCATTACTGTATTAACTTTTTTCTTTTTAATTAAACTCCAGAAATGAAAGTTACAAAGTTACAGTATTCATTCATCTTCAAAAATTAATACAATGAATACTTTAGGTGTAGTGTTTTCAGGTCTTATTCAGTGTTACAGAAATGAAATGAAATGAAATGAAATGAAATGAAAAATGAAATGAAATGAAATGAAATGAAATGAAATGAAACGAAATGAAATGAAATGAAATTAAATGAGTGGTTATACTAGCTAGCATGAAAAGTTGGTGGTTTTTTTTAGGATTTTCTCATTCAAAACACGTGGTCATGTGTTAAAAAGTTGGTGGTTTTTTTTAGGATTTTCTCATTCAAAACACGTGGTCATGTGTTAAAGTGCTGGAATTAATGTACATTATTAAGTTTTGTTCTGACCATAATTAGGTCCACAATGACTATGCAGAGTTTAAAATTTTCAGAACATCCTTTGCTTCTGCCTGCCCATTTACACACACTCACTTATCTACCTGGCACATGCTGCTAACAGAGGCACACAAGCCAGTTCAGTGCCTTCAAGGTTACACCTGTGATTAAAGTTACGTGTACATTTAAGGGCTTAGTTGCATGAAGCCCTGCATAGTGGCTCACAGACCCAACTTTTCCTGAAAAATATCTTCAGGTCTCTGCACCAGCCCTGGAGCCTGGATGTTCTCCTCTACATCTCATTTACAGTAGTTTTGTTGTGGTGGATTTCAGAGGTTCTGTGGGTGAGATTAAAATTCTGCTTGGGTTACAGCATACAGTAATAAATCCCTGTGGGCTGCTCTGCGATGTTCAGTGGGTATTTCACATCTGCATTCTCACTAGGATGGGTACCTGAAGGGAACTTTAATTGCTGGTCACCTAAATGATGGTTTAAAGACCGGGTGGTTTCAGGCTGGATTCTGCTGCCACACAGTTAACCCTCGGTCTGCACACCAGCACCTCTTCCCAGAGGAGACATTTTCCCTACCTGCTTCTCCTTGGCATTCCTTATGGTCTTCCTTAGACACCTTCTTTTATTCAAAATAGTTTCAGTGTGTATGATTTTAAAAAGGTATTAAATTTCTCTGTCTTTCATAGGCATTTCTTGGAACTTAGTGATGGGGACAGGTTTTGTCCATTTTCCAGAAAGTGCCTCTGCCAAGGAGAAATGCATAAATAAAGGAGTATTTCATCTGGATAACCCAATGTTTCTATTAGAATCACATAATGTCTAATTATGTACTCCATAAATCTTCATATTTTGTTATGAAGCTCATAATAACACAGTCTGAAAAATAGATTCTCTTCCCTGGCCACTACCAATTGAGTAGAAAAAATACTTATTTATGAAGCTTTATTAATAAAATCTGAATAATTCAAACAGCTTCTTCAGTGAAGAAACAGCATATTCCTATTTGCATATAAATGAAATGATGCTTTAGTGTCAGAGTGAAGAATTAAATAATATGAATTTTTACAGTGCAGTCCTGACAGTCTCATAAATATTATGGTCATAAGTTACAGTTTCCTAAAAATCTCATTTTATCTTTTATTACAAAAATATGACCAAAGGGCCAAGTCCTACTCATTTTACATGTGTGAGTATTCCCAATGACAATGCAATCCTTCAGTAAGTGAGGTTACCACATTCAGCTGTGTGTCAGCTAATGGAGCAAAAGCACTGTGCTATCTACATATCTGCTAGGAGGCCAGAATCTCTTATTTAGCCATGAGGAAAATCTTGTGTGTTGATAAAATATAAAGAACAACAGAGAAAACTGTAGCTCTACATTCAAAGAGACAATATACAACATGAGGAAACAGCTAATACACAGAAGATGCCAGATTTACTCTTAGTTACACAGGTACCAGTTTGGCCAAGTCAAATACTCCTTTTAGATGTAAGCAATCACAAAAGCTGCTGCAATTATAAAAACACCCAAATGACTTCAAATGGACTGTTGCACCTGAGGAAAGCTTTGATTTTATCTGTTTTTTTCGAAAGGTTGAAAAATTTCTCAAGCACAACCCGAGATCAGGTATAGAGAGAGCTGAACTGGATGAAGCACATTCTCGTAGAAGTCAAATAAAAGTGAGGGCCATGACAGTACTTAAGAAACTTCTCAGAGAGGTGTTGTGAGGTCTCAGTACAGAAGTGGGTGCCTCCATAACATGCCAGTGATATTTTTCCAGCCATAGTGCTATGCAAGTGGGACAAAACAGTCAAATACAGATGAGGCACAGATGAAAAATAAACCTAAACTTGGGTAGTAGGAGGAGAAGAATTATTTATGGATGTTTTGGAGAGTTTACAAAGTATAGAAATTTATTTATAAAGTCTAAAGGAGACTATGGGAGTATATAGTCTGATCTGTAAATCAAGCACAAGTGTATTCAACCCTGAGCAAAGCCTGCTGTACTCAAACACAACCCAGCCCATGTCTGGCTAGTCTGTGTTTTCCAGGGAGGCACTGGGTCTCAATCTGAAGACACCCAAAGCCAAGTAATCAATGATGGCCCTTAACTATTCCAAGAAATACTTACTGTCAGTACTACTAGGTAAGAAAACTATTTTATTTTACTTGATTCCAGCTACTAGACATTATTCCTTCTTATTTCAGTCTGGTAGGTTCAAATGTCCCTTACAAAAAATATTCTTGTTGTGCATATATGTATGCAGTTATCAATTCACCTTTCAATGTTTTTGATTCAGTAAATAAGTTAATGTTTTCAGTTCTTAGTTACATAGCATTTTCTCTGACTCCTGATCATTCTGTAGCTCTTCTCTACACTAACTCCATTTTTTCAATGTGAGGATCAGAACCGTGCACACCATAGCCCAGCCATCCTCAGCACTTTGCACATACAGGTAAAAATAATCACCATTAACAGCTGTGCTCTAAGTCAAGGTTTGCACAAACCCTTTCTGCTACAGCAAACTCATCAGCTTATTCAGCTTGGTCTTTTTAAACTTTTCCATTGTGTAGGAGAGCCTACATTCCTTATTAGGTATATATCAATAGATTTTATTAAAACATACTTTGTTTGAATGAGACCTAGTTTATAAAAGGTTGAGAATTCCTCTGTATCTTTGCCTGAAGTAATTTTTGTATCTATTTTTAACTGCCTTTAAATAGGCTGTAGAGACTGCTATTGTGGTATATTTTCTGACACTACAACAATTCTTGATATTTCAGACATAGCTGATCAGAAAATGCTGGCAGAGACAGTCACTGACACATCTGAGTGCATTATTCTAGGGCTGCACTCATTTGCATGTGAGAGCAAAGCTGGCAATCTCAGTTTTCCTGGTTAAGAAATGGAAATGGAAAATGAAAAACAGAAAAAAAAGGACTTTAGTCCCATGGTTTTCAAATCAATCTCTTCATGTTAGTGCAAGACTCATGAGTCCTGAATGATTGAATTTGACAGTATTCCTACAGGGCACAGTAACATGAAGAGATTTGTCTCAACCTGGTGCCAAAGAGAGCAAACTTCTGCCATACAATCATATCACTAACAAAAAGAGTAATTAGAAGTAGGAAAGTGTGTGTCCTTTAGGCTAATGAAAACTGAATAGCACATTTAACTGTCTCTACTGTTACTAAAATTGAATTTTGTCTATATGTATATATTTCTAATACTGACAAGGCAACAACTGCTTTTATTTGCTTGTTTCTAAGTAGTTTCTGACTTCTAACTTTCTAATTTATGAACAAATGTTCTTGGCAGCAAGGGGATGTTAAGGATCTCCTGCCTCTGTTTGTGCTGGATACAATGAATCAATTACCTTCCCGGATCTTGCTTATTGCTTTTCTAAGACTGGTGGACAGTACAAACACAGGGAGGCTTGTATTTTAATTGACCTAGGAAGTGGTTAATAGATGTGCTCTAGTGTCAGCACAGATTCTTTTAGGCCTGTCAGCAGATACAAAAAGCTGCAGATTCTGGCAGCAGTGGATGCAATCACACAGCAATGTTTGGATCCTTTCTTGGCGAGCTCCCAGATGTGGGTTTTGGCGATTGCTTGTCAGCTGTAGGGAACATTCTGCATGGGCCTGGCTCGTCATTTGGATTCTCATCCTTCATATCCAACCTAGAGATAAAGCCACAAGAGAAGACAGTGCAGCAGTTTGGCTCATAGAGCATTAAATGTGCTGCTTTGTTTATCATTTTTCGCTGATGCAATTTCTTCTCTTTCCTTCTGAGAAGTTCCTACCATGGTGCGCGGCTGGAACCGGACGCTCGGCGTTGAATGAGAAGGTGGAGCCTTCCGTGCCCCACGAGTGAAGAAGGAGTTTCTGCTTATCCAAGCCAACAGGAAAGGAGTGTCTCATGCTACAGCAAAGGCACAGAAGCTGTGCAGATGCGAAGCAGAAGCTATACCTTTACTTTTTCTACATTCATTCAAAATAGAGCAAAAGTAAGCTAAAGATACTTATGCAAGTACTGAGGAAATAGAGTGGAAATGGTGCATATCATCTAACTCCTGTGAAGATGTACATGGAGAAAAACATTGATGAAGAAGTGACTTTTGAGAAGATATGAGAAGAGTCATATCCAAATTGACTTAACTTCCTCCTTAAACAGAGGAGAAACAAGAAGGTAAAAAGTCTTTTCCAAGACATAAATGCAGGCAATTTTCAAGGCTAGTGTTTCTGGCAGGCTAAAAAGAGTAGGGAAATACATTAAGAAACAATATGAAATTATACTACAAGGCAAGTTATGCTTATGAGAAAAAATAAATAAAAAAAATTGACATGATAGAGAACCAGAATCACTGGAAGCATGGCATGAGAGAGCACAGCATATTTGGATCAATAAGAAAGGAGGAAACGGAGAGGACCTAATGATCAAGCTAGATAAATGATCTGTGTCTAAATGAAAATAATTTTAGGTGTTGGAACCAAGATAAATTGAGACATTGCAGGGAAAGAAACCACAGCCAGCCAGAGTCTTGATAAAATATAAAGAAAGCAGATTTCTTGGTGTGTGAAAGTGCAACTGAAGTGATGAGAAGGAAGTTAGTATGGATGATTTGACTGACAGAGAAGGGCCAATAATGGGAGCTGTATAGAAATGGTGGTGATTTGGCATTCCACATGAGGACAACTCCAAGTCAGGGAGGCCAAGGAAGTTGATTGAAACTCTGACCTGGCCAGGAGGCAGCAGAGGTTAAGTATGCAACCCATAAATAATCAGCAGTTATTTTGCAAGTATTAACTGGCAAATATAATTCCTGGTTCAACAGTGTTCAGACACAGCTGTAGGTAAGATTGTCCCAAGAGGTTAATTTAGAATGATGTTGCTTGTCATTAGCACTAGGACAAACCTGCACCCATGAATGCTTACGGTGCCCTTTGAACTTCTGTAAGATTACATGGATAAAAGAAAGAACAGAATTTGGCCTACATTATTTTGTCATTATACCTCATTTAATTAATGTTTAGTATAATCTGCTTTTAAATACAGACACACTTAATTGAAATTACTGAGCTTGCATACTTCACTAAATCTCAAACTGCTGCACCGACTTCTTAGAGCCCTAAACAGAAAGTGCAAATGAGAGCAACTGTTGGAAAAGAAAAACCCACACATCAAACCAAAACCTGCTAAAACCAACAAAGCAGCTCAGCAACTCATTTCTGCCACCTCCTTCTAAAATGTGTAATAAGGAGCACAACTTAACAAAAGTGGCGGAACGGGCTTCTCATTTAACATTTTGTTAACCTAAGTACAGCTTGTTACAAGGTAAAGCCAAGCTAGAACATTCCCTTGGGAACTTTGACAACCCCAGGCTTGGCTGTTATTTACCAGGGGCCACAGTTCCAGGTATCTACCTAAATTATGCAATAAATAATAGTATTTCAGTTCATTTCTAGTGAACAAGGAGATCTATGCATTATCAAGTGCAGCAGAGGTACTCTTCAACAAGAGTAATATTCCTTTATCTTTAAAAAAGGAAGAAATATTGACCAAAAGTGGGTAATAGGCAAGAAGTGCTAAATTATTTTATTTACAAACATACAACTGCATTTCAATAAAACCCAACTACTCCAAGCACCAGCGAAACATTAGTGAATAGTTCCAAGAGTTCCACTAAATTTCCTAGTCCTACTCATTGCTGGTCAGCAGTTACAGCCCAGACCAGAGCCAAGATGCGCATTTAATTTCGTATTCTGTGCGATCCGTTCTGCTGTGTCACCAGGCATTATGGCAAAGCCTCAAGTCAAGCTGTTCCCCCGTTATAATGGTGTAGGTGGAGCCATTCCTGGGCCTCTGGGCCCTTTGACTGAATTTATAGCGGAGCTAAAGAGAACGAGAGCTTACTGGGGACTTGCGGCTGGATTATTTCGCAATAATCACACGTAGAAAAGGAAACGTAAGGGACAAATATCTCTTTAGGCCTGGAAACCGCGGGCAATTCCCGTCCGGGGGGTCACAGGCCCCTCCGCGCGCCGGGCCCCGCCCCTCCCCNTGTGCACCCCGCCCCAAGGGCCCGTGTGCACCCCGCCGCGGCCGCCCGTGAGCCCCGGGGCCGGTGGGGAAGCTCGCGGCGTGCGCTTGGCCCGGGGCCTCGCTGTCTGGGGCTGTCCCGTAAAGGCAGTGACGAGGTCCGGGTGTTCCCGCTTTGTGTGGCGCTGGTGACATGGCCGGGGCTGTGGATGTGTGGCGGCTCTCGGCCGTCCTGTAGCGCACGGATGTTCTGTGTCAGTGTGTGCTAGCTTGCAGTCCCGGTGCTGCTGCTGAGGCCATGGCGGCACACGATTGGAACACGCTAATCTGCCTGTTCCTCACTAGCAGAGGCAGTGGCTACCTGTAAGAGACCAGAACCATCTCTAACCGCATTCCAGTAGTTTCCAAGTCCGTCTCCATCAAAGCTTCCGCAAAAAACGGGGCTCAAAAGGGACGGCTTCTGTCTCTTGTCCCTGTTGTTACACAAGGGTGACAGACTAAAGGTAGCTCGAATTCTGTGGGGGCAAAATGTCTTTCTAGCTCCATAGCTGAAACAGATGCATTCTTTATCAGGAGTTTTTCAGAATTTGCTTCCCCCGTGTGGAAAAGTTCATCCAATGCTTCGAAGGTTTGGCAAAGTAACAAGGAAGGAAAGTTTCTGGATGGAACCAGTTTTGAGTAACTGTAAGAGCTGCTGCTTCCAGGCTCATTTATCACTGGCTGTTCTGCCCTGGAATCCCTGCCACTCTTTTGCTCCTGAAAAAGGATTATCAGGGGTTTTTTGAGTGTACAATATGAATGGGCTTTATTAGTTCACAGAGTTATGTAGTGTTTCCAAGATTTGTGAAGAAGCATTTCAGAATAAGCATATTCTATTTTTCTTGTGCTGGGAGGGCAATGAATAACTACACATTATGTTGAATGTATCTAGGAGGGACGGATCTCTTGTATGGAGATGGTATTTTTTTCTCCTATAATAATCTCTTTCCTATTTTCTGGCCTTTTATAGCTTTTGCACTGTGCAGTGCAGCTATTTCTGTGTACATCAGTTCCTTGTCTTTCAAAGCAAACTTCAGGGAAAAGACAATGCTTTAATGTGAATGAGGAAACAAGAGAGATGAAAATCAGTTGTATTTAAGCTTATCCTGCAGTCTTCCTTCCCTTCCTCCCTCTATCCTCATTGCTTTACTGGTTTACTGTTTCGCTGGGCTGGTGGATGACACTATTTTAGGTAGCACAGAGGAACTCCTCAGTCTCCCTAAATCTCATCTCAGGAGCTGAGTGCAGGGCTAGGAAGTGTCTTAGCAGATATGCTTGCTCCCCCAGGTGTCCAGAAGTGGCCCTTGAAGTCTTGGATTTTTTTTACTTGAGACTAGTTTTGTGATGGAGACGGTGTTGAAGTCTCCCTGTGATGAACAGCACCCTCAGCAGGCTGAAGACTTCCATGGGAATCTTGAGCAGAACAAGCTTTCAGGTATGTGCTGAAATAGGGACTGTGAACATTGTATTTTGTTGCTGACATGCTGCTACACCACTTAGGGGAAATTTCAGTATTGATTTTAAGCCTGTCTGTATGTGATCCTGATTCATAAAGAATTAATGAAATTAAAACATTTGAGGTGGCTTTTGATTTTAAGTTTATTCCTGCTGTTTGTGCATTACAAAACTTCAGCAACAGTATTTTGTCACAATTTGCTAAACCTACTATATATGTATTACAGAACATGTAAGAGAATGCCAGAATGAAAAAAAAGCCAGCCCTTGAGAATAAAACTGACCAGACAAATACACAAATCCAGTATTTTGCCTTTTAATCTATATAATCACCGGCCTTATGCTTCAATATCTTTAGATGTGTTTATGTCCATAAAAACACTCTTCTTGCTTCTCTTTGTAGAAGCTGAACTAAGATTTTGTGCTCTGATAGATATTTTATTGGTTGTTTCTGAATCTCTTTGTGTACCTGAGTCTTCACTTTCTGTGCAGTGCTTGCTCATGAATCCCTGATGGTCAGCCAGTTTATAGATATAATGGCTTCTGATTTTTAAAAAATATATAGTCCTCTTTCAGGCTCCTGCTCATCCATGCCCAGATGGATGCTGAATTTGTATTGCTTTGCAAATAAGAGAAGAAATCACTTTAAAATATGCTTACAGAAAATACTGACTAATATTATTAGTGTTATTATCCTGATGGCACAATGGCTGTATGTTCTCTATACCCAGCTGAGGATTCAGGCCCCCAGAACTGACCAGGTGATGTTTATACTGCTGTCTTTCAACAAGGACAGTCACTGACTTTTTACAGCACTTCTCTCTTTCACACAAGCAGCTGTTTTGAATTCCTAAGTGCCTTGGGTAGGCACTGCAGCCTCTGCCACCCTGCTTGAAATGGCCTGAAAACTTCAACTTTCTCCAGGGAAGAATCTGAATTCAGTGTTGGACAAAATGGAGTATCTGGCAGACTATAGCAGTTGCTGAGTTTGTTTTCTGTGATTGCTAGTATATACCTTAGGACATTCTCATTCCTGAAATATTTCCCAAAATAAACAATTTGAAGAAGCAGAGAGAACAATTTAAATGAAAAAAAGGAATATAAATGGATAGCAAAAGAGGCAGCAGGTTTCAGTTCTCAGAAGCATTTTTAGTATGTTGGTTTTTAAAAAAATTTGAAATAAAAAAGTTAAAATTGAAAGGAAACTATAACTTGAATTACTAGCTGATCTATTGGGTTTTTAGCAGGAAGAAAATGTTCCTCAGGGAATTTTGTTGCTGTTTAAAGTAAGCTACATAGAAGGCTAGGGATACATGCTAATCCATAATTTGATTCCAGCATATCTGTGATTTTTTTTTTTTAAGTTCTTATTGCTTGTGATTTGCTGTCCTGGTGAACATAGTCTATGTTTACAGGTACAATACATTACAATTTACCTGTTTATGCTAAATTTAATTTATTATTTATTTTTGGGATGGAAAATGTATGCAAATTTGTTCATTTGATCGATTTTTCAAATACCAGTTTGTATTTAGTTCTGTATACTGAAATATTCTTTACCCCTGCTCCACAGAAATTAGTCAAAGCCTCTACATAATTGATAGCTTCAAAAGAAGTGAATTCTTATGTGAGGTGTAGAAAACACTTGAACAACAAGGATTTGTAAACTGAATGGAAAGCTACATGATTTTTTTGAAATAATGCAGTACAGCATCCTTGTCGTGCCATCTAGTGATGGCAGCATGAGGTGCAGCAGCCTAAATGCAGAGCAAACATGGGCTTTGATGCCCACTATTTTAAGTAATATTGGGGAAGATTGCATTACCAATCTTAAAAATATTTACAAAACAATTATTTTTCTGTATTTGTGATTTGCATCTGATGGATTTGCACCTGTGCTTACAGAAACAACTGTTACAGTTTTGTCTTTTGTCAAATTGCTGTCACAGATCTAATGTAAACAGTGATGAGCTGTAGGTGTCCTAGGATCCAGAAGGCTTCTGCCCTCTCAGAATCTGTTATGTGTCAGATAAGCAAAATAAAATTGTCTAAATGCTGCAGCTTGTAAAGGAGTGTGATAAAGAACAACAATTTCAAGTGTCCACATGGTAATGTCAGCAGGATAAGATACCTTTGTGCTGTTTTTTCCTCTGTGTATGTGAATCCACAGTCCCATGGAGTGTAATTTGTGATCTCCAATATAGATCAGATCAAAAATTTCTAACTTATTTTCTCCATTCTTTCCACAGCAGCAGTAAAAAAAGATATTGAAAAGCTTTATGAAGCAGTGCCACAGCTTGTAAATGTGTTCAAAATAAAGGAAAAAATTGGAGAAGGTAAATCTTTCATTTTATCTTGCTTAGAGTTAAAATTTCTTTTGGCATTTCTAATTTGAAAAGTATAAGTCTAAGATCCCAATATACACAATTGAAGCCAAATGCCTTTTTTTGACATACTACATGGTCCCTGTAGGAATTCTAATATGCTGCTGAGCACACATAATTCTAATATGTTGCTGAGTGTATGAATTAGGAATGTTTTCAAGATATTTTCTTGAAAATCTGGTATATTAAAGCCTTTTAAAAAAACAACATTCCAATTTTGGCAATTAAAAACTTTTTGAGATAGACTAAAGTAAATAGTCTTAAAAATCCATTCTTTTTTTCCTTTACATGAGAAATCGACTTAAATGTAACTGTGTTTTGACATACTTAATTGGTGTTCCTTCAGTTAGCTTTGTTTCCACTAAAATCTCTTGGCCAGAAATAGATGAGGAAACTGAAAGGTTGTAGCTGCTTTACTTAAAAAATGAAGAACTTTTTCATTTTGGAAGACATACAGTATCAAATTTTAGAATACTTGTGTTCACCTTGCCTTCAACAAGACAGTATTGCAAATACCTTAAATTAGTGTCAGGCATGCCTATACATAGATTCAGGTACTTCTGAACGTAGGATTTCAACACTTTTTGAAACTTTACCCATTTAATCTCTGAAATGCTCTGTGACACTCCACACTTCTAAAACAAAAGATGGTGATAGGAAGCTGGATTGTTTAGCATCTATTTTGTGGCGGAATTTCTGTGCAGCAGGTTAGATGCCTAAGAGTTTTTGGCAAACTACTTAAAAACTCCCCAGCTCCATTCCCCACATGAATGTAAAATTTCAAAAATAAACAAAATAGACTTATACCTATCATAAAAAAGTGTAATTAAACAAAATTTCTGATTTTTTTAAAAAAAACCTCTGATTTTACTCTTAGGAGCAAACAATGTTTTTAAAAAAATACCATTTGCAGTTCAACAACATCATGAGAAAACAAGCTTCAACTTAGGATTCCTCTCGGGAATCACTTTCATTTTAGCAGTTCTCACCACCGAACACAATGTCCGAAGTCATTCAGTAACCCTTGTTACTGCAATCAGTTCTGTTGAAGGTATGGGTCTCTCAGCTGTTTGAGGATTTTTTTTTTAATGGTTGCATGAAGTATTTAGATTTTGCTGGCATTTTGATGAATGTTGGCACTCAGACTGTTGAACCAGCATGAGGTAAACACATTACTTAAAAGCAATTTCCATTCTTTATTCATATGGAAGGACAGTTCAACTTGTATGTTCAGATATTTCAGATCATTAGGATAAATTAACCTCCTAAGAGGTTTATTATCCTTAAAATTAAATGGCTGGGTAAGTTTATCATACAGTCCCAATACTCCCTTTCTCAAGCAAGTGCATCACATTGGATGTGGTAAAATGCTCTGGGCAAATAAACAGTGCAGTTACACATCATGTTGGAAGCCTTACTTTATAGATAAGGTACAGAATTAAGGAAAATGTAGCAATTTCAGAAGTGCTTTGAATAGCACCAGCAGTGCTTTCCAGATTAGCATTATATAGTCCTCTTACATTGTAGGGAGAGGAGTTAGATGTCAGATGAAAGTAAGCTACCTAAACAAGAAAGGAAATCAAAGATAGGAAATTTACATTCAAAGAGCACTGTGTCCCAGGCAAGTTAGACAGTGTTATATTTGCATTTTTACTGACATAAAAAACTTGTATACAAGATCAGTATATTCAGTAGTAGAAAAAAAGAACTGAGTTTTTCTCTTCCAGAGCCTGCTTTTGATGTAGTATCAAGTGTACTGCAGGATTGTGAACAGTTAGATCACTTCTGTAAAAATCTGCATTGACCTAATTAAAAATGTTGAAGACAATGTCTTTCTCCTTTGTTTACAGGTACCTTTAGTTCTGTTTACTTGGCCACAGCACAGCTACAAACAGGACATGAGGAACAAATGGCTCTGAAACACTTGATTCCAACCAGCCACCCTCTGCGAATAGCTGCTGAACTTCAGTGCCTCACAGTGGCAGGGTACATAAACAAAAGAATTAGGATTGCTATGACTAAACTGCTGAATGTTGTCTCACTGTTCTGTACTTCTTAAGTTTTGGCACTTCTATTGATTTTTAACCACACTTACGTGTATTCTTTTTATTGAGGGCAAATAACAAAAGGGGCATCTCACCTGTAATGGATGCCCTTTGCTGCTAGTCTCAGTTGCGGGGGTGTTACTCTATTTACCAGCTGAGAAATTCCATTATATATTTCTATGGTAACAAAGTTCCTGTTCTGAAATGCTTGGAAAAAAGAACCACTTCATTAGAAAATGTGGTTTTAGGAATGAATACTTGTTGTCAGAGTGTGCTGAATAGCACCTTCTTAAATTATAGTAAGATCATGAAAGTCAGGGCCTATATTAATTGCAGTGGTAACTACAAACTACAGCCCCACAGATAATCTGCTGAGTTCTCATTCCAAACTGCAGAACGGAACATTGAGCAGCAAGAGCACAACTATTGATTAGTTACTGATAAGACTGCTGTCAAAATATAAATTAGAATTATAAAAGAAAGCCTGACTGAAGTTTTTAAGACATAAAGGAAAATAAGCATCCACCTTTTGATTGTTGTTCAATAACATTACTTCTCTTCTAGGGGGCAAGATAATGTTATGGGACTTAAATACTGCTTCAGGAAAAATGATCATGTTGTTATTGTTATGCCATATCTGGAGCATGAATCCTTCTTGGTGAGTCTCTGACTTTTGATATGTAGTAAAGCATTTAATTAAAAGCAGATGCCTAACTATTCTATAATTATTCCACAATTCTACAAATTACAAATAATCTTTCAGGACATTTTGAACTCCCTTTCCTTCGAAGAAGTGAGGGAATACATGTTTAATCTGTTTAAAGCACTGAGGCGCATTCATCACTTCGGTATTGTTCACCGTGACGTCAAGCCCAGCAACTTCCTCTACAACAGGCAGCTAAAAAAGTGAGTCTGGCCATACTGTGATCTCATCTGGGGATGTGTGCCTTGGCAGAACAGAGTCAATTAGGCTTTTAGGCTTCTTTCCTTCCAGCTGCATAACATGTGCTTAAATAATTAAGTTTAAAACATGGGGGTTTATTTGTAAAATTTTTCTTTCACTGTTAAGGGACTTAAGAAGGGAGGAATTTTTTTTTCTTAATGGAATGTCTGCTTCATAGAGTGACAAATACCTGATAAAATGAAGATTTTTACTACTAAGTACTACATTTTCAAATAAAAATGAGAAGAATAAAATATGGGTGTTTTTTAAAAAGAGTTAAATTGTAACTTGTGATGCATGTAGAAAGAGAGTTACCGCTTCTATCTGAAGAGTTGAAATGGACGGGATGCTTCAGTGCTAGCAGTCCTACAGCTGTATTTGTGAGCATTGTGCTTGTACAGTTGAGACACTGAGGTGTTGGAGAGTGTCCAAGGCAAAGCACTGATAGGTTGTAGCAGGATGCACATCCCCAAGTAAAAAGTGATGACAGGAAATGGCCTCAAGTTGCACCAGGGAAGGTTTAGGTTCAATTTTAGAAAAAGGTTTATCAAGCTTTGGAATGAGCTGCCCAGGGAAGTGGTTGAGTCACCATCCCTAGAGGAATTTAAAAGACCTGTAGATTCAGCACTTAAGGACATGGTTTTGTGGGACTTGGCAGAGCAGGGTTAACAGTTGGACTTGATTTTAAAGGTCTTTCCCAGCCTAAATGTTTCTGTGATTCTTTGCAGTGAAAATTAGTAGGGGAGATTTGATTGCGTTTCTCCAAACTGCAAGCACAAAGTTTGAGAAATACTGATTTTTTTATTTTTATTTTTTTAAAATCTGTCAAAATTAATATGTACTGCCATTTTGCTCTTCCAGCATTTGTTTGAGCCTTAATCTCTACTTTTCATTTAGAGGCATGGAGTTAAGTTTGAGACTCAGGGACAGATGGATTATCTCTGTACTGGTTGTAGGTAAACATAATTCTTTTAGAGACAGATCTGAAGTGTGAACTAATGTAGTCTTACCTGTTTGAAGACTAAGGTAAATTCCATTAGTATTTGCCAGAAGTCTGGCAAAGCTTTAAGCCCTGTTGGTCTGGTCTGTCTTCACTGCCACCTTTGTCTTCTGCCTGTGGGAGTCCTGACAAGAGTCAAGTCACTTGTACATGACTGCTGGCTGAAGATTCAGGGCTGTAGGACTAGAACTTCAAAAAGGAGTTGCTGGAAATACCTTTTTAACATCTTTGGAGGAAGGATGTACTTGAGAAGATTTTGGGACAAGAAACAATGAACAGTGGTATAGAGTAAAAACATTGAGGGGATAGGTGAGATGGGTGCTATCTACACAGTAGGAGAAGGAAGAAAATAGGATTGTGATGCTGGCAACAGTACAGATAAGCAATATTGAATGAAATGTGAAAGAAAGATAAGTAAGGAATAGTAAATTGAACGATTAATAGATACTTTGTGACTCCTGATTCTGAATTTGTGTCTTTTCAGGTATGCCTTGGTAGATTTTGGCTTGGCACAAGGAACCCCTGATACAAAAATAGAGCTTCTTAAATCTGCCCACTCTGAAGACCAGCAGGGAAGTTGCTTGCAGACTAATCCTGCTGTAGCCTTGAGAAACGGAGTTTCTGTCTGTGTCGCAGCACCCAAACAGATAGCTCAACAGTCAGCCTCAAAAGCAGCTGATAGAAGGTCCAGCTCACTTTCAAAAGTACAGATGAAACAAGGAAGAGGAGGAAAGGTTCTCAGTCTCTTTCATTAATGCTATTGTATATGTTTAATGTGTTCCTTCATCCAACAGGGGGAGATGCAGTACTTGCGCAGAAGCTGAGCCTGCACAGCATCACAGTGTTCATATCTGAGGAGCTACTTCTACATAACTATTGGCTTCATCATTATCTGTTAGATGTAACAGAGTGCTGAAGGCTGTATAAAACCCTAGCATAAGTTACTCTTTAGACAGCCTTAAATCCTTTTTCAGAGACAGGGATGGTGAAACTCTTCCCCAAGCCAATAATCATTCACCTATGTTTAGTTACTAGTTGCATAACAAATGCAGCACAGAGTACACTGAGATTGTCTTGGGGCACTTCGGAGGTGTGATTGGTTTTGTAAACATGTTTGCTGTTCTGTCTAGACGATGTTTCTTCATCCACAGTAAACTGATGCCTGAAAATGACTTGCTTGCTGCTGTTCTTGTTTTATGATACTACACTTTTCTTTTTGAACTGTCAGTACCCAGATGCCTGTTAAACAGGATCCTTATTGTCCTTGTTGTTGGTATTGTAGGAGGACTCTGTGCACCATTCTGTCCAGCGCTCTGTCTTTGGAGAGAGGAATTTCAATGTTTATAGCTCCACATACCAGGAGAACTCAAGCACAAAAGTAAGAAGTATTAACTCATCAGCAGGATCAATCTGCTGCATTTTTAAAAAATTATAGAACTGGTTGTTCTGTAAGAACAAGCACTGCTCCAGAATGCTATGGAACTAAAGATTTCTGAGCAGACTATTAAATGTGTCTTTCTTGAAAGGCTCAAAGAATTTTTAATTTCTGTTTCAGTACCTCTTGAAGCTCTTAAACAATGCATTCTGTAGCTATGCATCTATCTGTGCAGCTAATCATAGAATCACAAAATAAACTGAGTTGGAAGGGACCCTTGATGAGAATCAAGTCCAACTCCTGGTTCTGCACAGGATGCCCCCAAGTCACTCCATGTACCTGAGAGCATTGCCCTAATGCTTCTTGAGCTCTGTCAGGCTGGTGCTGTGACCACTGCCCTGGGGATCCTGTTCAACCACTCCTTACTTATCTTGTGAAATTTAAAAAAAAATTATTTTGCTTGAAGCTGTGTATAAAACTTGTAACTGTTTTTTTGTAATTATTATTTAATATGACAAGGGGGAAACCCCAAATGAATTAGAGGGTTTGGTTTATGGTATTTGGTGTCTGTGTGTTGCTCATATTTTTTTTTTCTTATTCTCACATTGAGCCAAAAAATTCTTGAAACACTATACTAACTTGAAAAATACTTGTATTGTAGCTTTAGAATATTTAATATAGTTTTTTTGGTAAACACTGAAAATGCCTTCTGAAGGGGAAGGGGAGGGAATCAGGCTATCTAGAAAGTTCCAGTGTCTGTTTTATAGTACATTTGATATTGTTAAAGAGGTTTGCTGTCTATTCTAAAATTCTTCTTGTTCATGAGCACCTGTTAAGTCAGTGTTTTAGGAATTGTACTATCTATACGTAAGGGGAAACTTCTTAAATATGTCACCTTCTCTAAAATATCTCCATTGCAGCTCATAAAACAATCAAAGATTATAGATGTTTCATCCAAGAAGTTAGTAACAAAGAAGAAGATTATTTCTACCAAAACTGTGAGCAATGGGGCAGCCAGGAAAGCTGCCAGTGGTTGCCCTTTAAACCTGCTCTGTGACTGTTATGCAACGGATAGAGTTTGCAGTGTTTGCCTTTCAAGGTAATATGCTTTGATAATGCTGTAAAATTGTCTGCTCTGCTGTCCAGCCAAGTCAGAAACTTAGATTTACTAGACTGCTGATTTAGTAAGTGAAAAGAGATAGCATTTGATCTCTGCAGCTCTTAAAACACCGAGTATGTTCTTTTTAAGCAAGAATAGTTCATGGAATTCATGGATTAGTTCACTGCTATCTGCAGGTAGAAAGATTCACTGGTAATTATTTTCTTGGTTTTGTATTTATTTGTTCACCTACAAGTGTTGCAGAAAATCACTTGAGTTAATTACAACACTTAGAAAAGTGTTCTAAATTCTCTCATTTAGTAGTTACCTAATAGGCCTAAATTATACCAACAGCTGGAATTCTGGAAATCATGAAATGTAGAATAAAAAGGAAGCATGATTGTTTTGTTTTTGCTCATCTGAAAAACTAATGGTTTAGGTTGGAAAGAACCTTAAAGGTCATCTTGTTCCAAATCCCCTACCATGGGCTGGGGCAACTTCCACTAGACCAGGTTTCTCTGAGCTGTATCCTACCTGGCCTTGAGCACTGCCAGGGATGGGCATCCACAGCTTCTGTGGGTAACCTGTTCCAGTTCCTCATGCCATCCCTCTACAGGTTGTTTTGATTATGATCTACTCTTGCCTTTTATCCACACATGATTTTTAAAATAATAACTTCACACCTTTTAGTTAATCTAACAAAAAGGAAATTCTTGGCAACACTCAGAGTGAGCCTTAGTTTGCTCTGGACTAACACAAAGCCATAGCATCCACATTCAAGAATATGCTTTTTGCCTTGGGTTAATTGCCTTGGGTTAATTTGCCTCAACTTCAAAGTTCCCCATGAAAACAAGCTCTTAACAAAACTGACACTTCTCTTAGATGAAACTAAGAAAAGGTCATTGTAAAATAAGTATACAATAAGTATTTCTCTGGTAATTTCTTATGCTAGATAATATAATTAAAATACAATATAATAGATAAGGCTATTACATGTCTATCTTATAATTTTATGCCAGATAAGATGCTTCAAACTTCTGTAAGACTTGAATAAAGCAGGGTTAGGCTGTTTACACATCTTACACAAATATATCCTAAAAAACAATAATAAATATTATTAAATTTAGAACTTAATTATAAGCTTTTATATTCTAAATATATTTGTCTCTTATTACAAGGCGTCAGCAAGTGGCTCCCAGGGCAGGAACACCTGGATTCAGAGCACCAGAAGTATTAACAAAATGCCCCACTCAAACCACAGGTACTGCCCAACAGACTCAATCAAATGGCTTTTTTCACCTTTTCATTCCTATGCATATTTTGTTGTCTTTTTTATGGGATGATTTTTTAACTTGTGAAATTAATTTTCCATCCCTTCTAATGCTTTTCAAGTATTTCGTGATTTTAATTAAAAGTTTAAATACAATATATTTTAAAAGAAAAAAGAACTTTTTATGAAGTTTCTGGGCTTACTTATCCAAGAAAAATCTTGAATGAATTCTGGGGAGAGAGGATATTATGTTTAGCCTTTTCTAGGCAGGTTGTAACATATGCTGCAATATCAGGCATAGTTAATAGTGTAATTGCAAATGTGTTCTAGAAAGCATTATTTAATGACTTTTTATCAATTTTTTTTCTTTTTGCTATTGCTTTAAATAGGTGGTGTGTAAATGTCATAATTATTTTAAACTAAAATTATAATTTCCCTGTGTTAAAACTTAGTTAATAAGATTCAGTGGTTTGGGTAAATACCAGGGCAGGGCAGAGAGATGGTTAATGCATTAGCTGGTGCAAGCAAGGTGGGAGAGGTTGTGCCTATCTGCAGGATGGAGAACCAAAAGAAACAGTTAACCATTAAACATTTGGTCTATGACCAGGAGTTCTGACTTACCCAAAAATAAAAATGTCCTCAAAAACTGGATTTAGAATACAAGCTTTTAGCAATTTTTTTTCTGAATATCTTTAGAGAAAGTTGTTATAGTAGTTAAAGTGTGTATACACACTCAAAATAGAATTAACAATATATTTGATCAGTTTATGCCTGGATATCTTACTGCCGCTTGAAACAACGTCTGTCCTGTGGGATATCAAAGGTATGGCAGCTTGTTTGAAGTTCTTGTGTCTGTGCTGTAACATCCAGCTTTATGGGCTAGCAGTCATCTAGGAAGAGTTAGACAATCTCTGAATCTCTCCAGACAGGATTGAAGCAGAAAGAAGACATACCTAGGCAATCTTGGTCACAAGCTGGTGTTAAACACACTTTCAGATGGTTTTCTGTTCTCTGGGGTAATGAGGAGCAGAATTACAAAATGGGGGTAAATCTGGACCCACCCTTGGGTATGGCACAGACATCCCTGGACTGAGTCAGTGGTGCTGAGCTGCTGCTGTATGTCAACAAAGGCCTTAATTAGAACTGGGTAGACTAATACTAATATTTATAATATGATGTTTTATTTGAACTAGTATTAATGTTCACTTTCATTTGGGGCTGCTGGAGTCACCTTGTGTTCCTGCCAGTTACTGGCTGAATCCAACTGACTCTACCCAGAGCTACTGTAGCACATCTGACCCAGGTTCACAGTGCTGGAGTACAACCTAAGCTCCCAAGTTGAGGTTACACAGGTCCAGTTATGCTTTCCCTTGGTTTTTCCCTCTCTTCCCCTTTCCTCACTTGCTGGATAACACTGGACAAAGCCTTAGGGAGGAATCATGATTTTTATGTCATTCCACAAGATCTTGCCCTCTGCTGATGATCACAGCTCTATCACAATTGTGGGGCCAGGATTTACTGCCCACCAGATATATAATGCCTTTTAATTTCAGCAGGAGTTATATAATTAAATATTTTCAAAGGTCTTGACCTTGATTACTCCAGCTTACCCAGCCACATTGTCAGGGGGATGCACAGCCCCTCAAACAGATAGCATTACTACAGCACTGTTTTAAGGATGATACTAAAACTTTTTTACAGGAACTGTGCTGAAGGCAGAAAACCTTTCCACTGTAAATTGTGGCAAATTATTAACTTAGATTTTTGTTTTTTAATAAAATACATATAAGATCTGTTTTTGCAACTAAAGTCAACTTAATACTTTTTTTTTAGAATCAAAATTCTGTGCTAAGAGTGTTTCTAATTAAAATGTCCAAATTAATTACTGCCTATTTTGCTACTTACTTTTTTGAATAGGACTAAGATGAATATGCCTCTATTTTCCAACTGTTAATTTTTCTCTTCAGAGTTTGAGATCCTTCAAACTCTCTCCTTCACTTTCCTTGCCATTTCTCAAAATGTGCACCTTAGTGAGCCAAAAAAATTATGGCAGACAGGTATTCTTGTAACTTCCAGTACTGAAGTTTCCATCAAGCTTTGGCCTCTATCCTCAGAGTACTCTCTGTACTCTTCATAACACGATGAAAGTGATGAATAACTGAACTGTTACAGTTTTTAAACTGCCTATCTTGTCAAGTGAGTTCATATTAGAGAGGAACAAAGCTCATAATAAGAAAAATTTCTTAGTACTGCCTACCTATGCTAGTCTCAATCCCCCAAAAATATTTTCATTAATATTTGTGAGTTGTCTTTTACTTATGACCCTTATATAAGGTTTTCTTCATGTGAAGTAAAGTTAAGTATGTATCAATCCTGCCATTTCATTTGCCCCCTCTCATCTTCCCAGGTAAAACAGCTTCAAACATTGTTTTGGTCCATTTTAAGTTGAGCAAGTTAATGGAATAACTTATACAAAAAAAACACTCCCTCTGCATCAAAGTAGGAAATTATTCTTCAATCTAGTTACAGTAATTTCCACTCTTGTCTGAAGTATTATCTATGTGACCAGAGTTAAGAAGTACTTCAGAACATAATTTTGGCTGATAGAAACTTTTCAGATCATAATTTCTTTTTAAAGAAAGTTGAAATTTTGTTTGTGATGAAATCACGAGTTTAGTTGTTAATAAATTTGTTTTCCTTTGCAGCAATAGACATGTGGTCTGCAGGAATCATATTCCTTTCTCTACTCAGTGGACGGTATCCATTTTTCAAAGCAAGTGATGATTTAACTGCTTTGGCACAAATCATGACAGTTCGTGGATCCAGAGAAACCATTGAGGCTGCTAGAACTTTTGGTATGCAAACCTTAATTATGGGGGAAGGGGGAGAATGTTACTTAATGCTGTGATTTACAATAAATGATTTTTTTTTTGTGTATATAAATATATTTTTAGTTTTGAGAGTAAATTTGGAAATAAATCACACTTTTTGCATGTCTATATTGACAGATTTTAAGACAGTTTTGTGTTTTTCTGTCTTTTACAATGTGTGTATGGGGTACTTTATGTCATAGTTTTCCCAACCTGTCTATTTGCTGCCTTTCACTAAATCCGGGCTACTTGAGGTGAAGTATGCCAACTAAATGTTTCCTACTGGCATTTGGTTAGAATTCTTGAGACAGTGTTTCTATTCCTACAAAATTTGGCCTGGAGGCTTAAGTCAATATGACTTAATATTTAGATGATGTAAGCCTTGCTTTTTCCCCTGCCCTTCCCTCAAAAGGCCTAGTAAAACAAACAAACAAGCTGAAAACCCAAAAGCCCAATACCTGACAACTGGCCTGTTTAAAAAAGATACAATCACCACAAAACACAAAATACCCAAATAACCATTCCCCTAATTGCTTGTAGGTTAAATGCTGCAGCATTTGCTACCTGGACTTGTAACTGCCAGCATCAATTTTTGTTTTCCAGAGGTGTAAAAATCAGAATATTTAATTGTCTTCAGTTCTGTTTAAATGGCAGTGAAATGCAAAAAGTTGGTGTACAGAGTGGCTGACAACCTGTCACTACATAACTTCACATAGCCTAGAGCTCTTAGTTCTGAGCAGAACTTTCATTTTCAGGGGCTGCTGCTGTAACAGCAGGGCTGGTGTGGAGGTATGGGGGGTGGATTTGGTTCTTTGATAATTTGGGATGTTTTTTCTTTCATGCTGGTTCTACTTTGAGAGTTGCATAGAAAGTATAATAAAATATGGTTTCCTATACAACTTTTTTCCCTAGGAAAATCAGTTGTGTGTACCCAAGTTGTCCCATCTCAAAACCTACGAACCCTCTGTGAAAAGCTGAGAGGAACAAATAGCAGCTGTAAGAGATCTCAGGGGGAAGGGCCCAGCAGGTCTGAAAATAGCACAGATTTGCCAGTTGCAGCAGACAAACCCTGTGCTCCTGAGACACTTGGAAAACAAATTCAACACTTACAGAGTTCTCAGGAAGGCGATGGTGCTTTGGAAATGAAGGCAACTGACATGAAAGGATGGGATCAGGTTCCTGATGAAGCATATGACCTACTTGATAAGCTACTAGACTTAAACCCTGCAACAAGAATAACTGCAGAAGAGGCTTTGCTGCATCCTTTTTTTAAGTACATAAGGCTCTAAGAAGATAACTTACTCTGTTATTACTTTCATATGTTTTGTGTGGAAATGAAATACTGAGGCAGTTTTACCTTGTTGCCCTCTACATTTACACTCATTGAAAAAACATCACACTGTGCTCTGAACTACTGAAACTTTGTCTTGTACAGTTAGACTGCAAATGTCAGTTTAAGAAATACTTGCAGATGCAGAAGTTACATAAACATCACTAACATAGTCTTATCCTAAGACACTTCTGAGAGGTTATTGCTGTGCATACCTGTTCTCTAAGAAAGTTAACTTTGATCAAAAACAACAAAGAAAAAAAGAGTTTCATAAGCTCTATGCTTAATTCTCGAGATATTCCCTTAAAATTTACAACTTTGCCTTAAGGTAAGATTGAAATAAGAAAGTGTTTGAGAGACTTCTTTTCTGTACTTTCATATCTCTGCTTTGTTCTTGTTTAGTACATGGGGGGACTGAAAATGGAATAAAGTGTATTCATTTTGTTCAGACTATTTTCAGAGAACAGTATTACTTCAGGAGTGTTGCTAGAGGAAAGACCAGGTGCTGGAGATTATATCATCAAAAGAAAAACATGACTTTGAAAAGTACATTTTTGTTCCTATCTGGCCTTTCCTATGTAGGCAGTAGTAATAAATGCAGTTTCTCCTTTTGCAAAGCCCATGTTTCCTCAGTGCCATGGATAACTGTCGACATCCCACAGCTGCTGCCTTCAGGATGTCTCGGGTGCTACACATAGGTTTGATTACTCTTAAGGAGACTGATTTCTTAAAAAATACTTGTTCAATAAATGATTTGGTTTTATAACTTCAGAAGCTTGTCTAGAGATGTTTCTGTAAAAGTCAGGTAAGGTTTTCCTGTGTTATGTTTCTGTTCAGGCAATCTTGCACATTGGTTTTCTGTATAAATTCCTCAGTGACAGAAGACACTTTTTGGATCACTCTAGTGTGTATGGCTGTTTAGTGAAACTATGTTAATCATCAAAGAACTCTTACCACAGAGTTAGACAGCTATTGTGTGCTCCTAAGGAGGAAAACCCTGTGTCTTCAATGTGCAAAGTAAGCTATATCATATTCCACAGAAGCTTCTCTAAACGCCTTTATAATTGTGGAGAATGAAGCATAGTAGTGTTTTTCAATGTACACTTCTTGACATGCTGATGAAGTTGCTGTAAGATTGCTGCTTTGATAACTCTTGTAAAAGCCTTCTCATATGAGCTGTTGGTTATGATATTGCAAAGATCCTGACCAGGACTGGGGCTGAAGGGACAAGATTTCAGTATTTTCAAAACCTTGAACACATAGAGCAACATTGCCGTTATTTTCTGTTTCTGGCATCAGCTGTTAAGGAAAAATATTTGCAGATGTCAGAATATTGATTGCAGAAAATCTTGAAACCCTCAAGACCCTGGGGCCCAGGTCTTGTAATTTTTGCTGTTTATATAATTTCAACACAGCACGTCACTGAGAAATTATTTATCTAAAGGAACTGTGGCCAAATTTGGCAAGCAATGCTGTCTGCCAGTGTCTGCAGATGTATTGTTTCCTCCTACATTCACTCATGCTGTCTATGGTCTTATGAGAACATCAGCTGACAGCAAGCAAAAATATGTCAGCTATCTATTGTGAGCTTTCTAAGCAACTTCAGCTCTTCAGCTTCCCTGCTAACAGCCTTCAGCAGCTCCTTCCATCAGCCCAACAACAATTAACCTCTGCATTCAATAGCCAAAAAGGAAAAACCATTGCTAATGGTATTTTTACCAAAACATTAAGGGTAAATGAAATTTGTAAGGAACAGTTCTAAGCTCTGTGTATTCCATAACAACCTGGAAGAACACACTGGTATTCCTTCTTCCAGACAACTATTTAAAATGTGGAGAATTTTTTTTCAAGGTGAGAGATTAAAACAAAAAGTGTGTTTGAACTAGCATCTGCTAAGGAAGTACTTTTGCTGCACTCTACAGAAGAAGAAATCCAGCAGTAAAATGTTTAATAAAAAATGAAGGAAAAGAGCAAGAAAACACTAGGGCTTGAGCCGTGGTTGTCACTGGATTTTCTGCTTCTCTCTGCTGTGTTTCTAAGAATCTCTAAAAACCATAGGTAAGAGCCAAGTACTAAGATTCCTTTAAATACATGATTTCAGATATTTATAAACTGAACATGAATCTTGTACCAAGAGAGCTGCAATTAGAAAAAATTCTGCACAGAAATTACATTGCTTCAACAAATGCTCAGTGGTTGTGGGGCCACAGCTGGGTTAATGTTAAGTTCTGGTTAGTAACAAACTGGGCAGAAACCAAAAACAGCAGCAAAAAGCTGCATGGACTTGGAGAGGTGAATAGAAGCTGATACATAGAATTCTGAGAACAGAATGCTGGGAGCAAATCTAGATGCCTGGGTATTTAGCATAGGGAAGACTTGTTTATTCTAACTACTAAGCCGGACTAGGTGAGGAAACTGACATGTTTATGTTCATCCTAGCTGAAAAAGGTAACAAATGTAAATATTTATTTACGTATCAAATACATATTTATCTTCCTAGCACCTTTCTGGCCATTACATTCTACTAGTGAGCAAAATACAAAGAAAGAAAAAATCTTTAGAGCTTGCCTCATATAGTTGTTGGTGATGAAGAGGTGTATTCTGAATGAGGTGATATAAATAATGTTTGCATTTAGCGTGGTACACCTGAACTTTTCTGCTTCATGAAGGCAGACCACACAAGGCAACAGAGGTAAAAAAAAACAAACCCCAACAACCCAGTTTTCTCTTTTAAAAGACAGCTTGGCTGTGTAGAGAAAATGGCTAACCAAATCAATTAATATGACAGCATTTTAAAGGAAATTAATACTTAATGGCTTTATGAATTCCTAGTCTATAATGAAACAATGTAGCTCATGTGGTAGGCTTATAGCAAGGACGGTTCTCTTGAGACATTACTAAAGCAATGCTCGTACTGCAGCACAGTTGCAAATGTTTTTTTGGTTGGGTTGGGTATCTCTGATGTTTGTTTTTTTAGAGCACATAGTAAATTATTCTACTAATGTAGCCACTGCATGTTTGCTTCAGTGTTCTCTTGTAGCTTATCCAGAAAACAGAATATGTCCCAGGTCAGTGGCGGTACATACATGGTTCATACCCCTCTCTGCTGCTGTGTTCCTGGCTGGCCAGTTCAAGGGGTGGTAAATATTTAAATTGGCAGCCTACACACAGTGGGTGGAAATTGGATAGTCCCTTTGATCATATGCTTACAAAGGCCAGCATATAGAGTTTTGTTACCCTGGTAACAAAAAAATTCTGGTGCTGCTGAGCTGAGGGTCCAGTAAGTTAGATATTCTGAATCCACATAACCTAGATAACCAAGGGTTTTCAAATATGCCTGTTGTTTGCTTAATTCTGCCTCTCCATGACTCAATCCTTTCTACTTTCATCTCCACTGACTGCTAGAATGTTATCCCTATACAATGGTTTATTGTATTATGTTAAAAACTAACCACTATATGCATTCCTGAGTCTCCCCAGAGTACTGTTTATCCCTTTTATGGAAAGACATCTTCCTGTGGGGGTATTGCAGGGAAGAGAGTGGTTTTGTTACATGTTATTTAGTTTCTTGCATAAAGTTCTTCCATAGTTTTCAGAAGAGTCAGATTTTAATCTAAGACCTAATTAAACTTTTGCTTCAAAAATTCTAGTGCTAAAAATGTTTTGCCTAAGATATTGATTTGATCCTTGTATTTTATATGGTATAAACAAACTAATTGTAAGAAAAAAATGCATAATTAGTTTGACTTCTTGATATGACAGGATAGGGATGTAGCCTAACACCTGGCATTTTAAAAGAAAATCGGGATCATCTGAGGAAAGGTTAATGATTGATATAAGGAATGGTACAGGTCATGTTGTAGCAGCAGGCAGCTCATTGATAAAACCTCCCTTGTACTTCCCACTCCTGTTTTTTTCTCACCACCTGCCCCAAAAAAACCTTACCACAGTATCAGGTGCACTCTGTATTGCTGTAAGGCATTTGTCTTTAATGATTCTTTTTGCTACTTTAAGTGTTACTGTGTTATGTGAGAAGTGCCAGTTATTTCCAAGTGTCCTGGGAGTCCTCTTGAGTCCTGCTCCTATTCTTGTCTGTTTATTTGTTCCAAAGAGCTGTTTCCTTATCAACCCCCCCCCCCCCAAGTTAGACTTGGCAGGTCTTGATAGATAAGAAATTCTGGAGTTCTTTAGCATTTCACTTTTCTTGTTTGTAGTCTTGTCTTACTAGATCTGGGAATGTCGATTTCAATGGAACTGCTGAAATTTCTACTGCACAAGTATACACCTGTCAGGAGGAAACCACTGAGACGAGGCAGTAGTGTGGATCTCAGAGGACACAAAATCCTACACCCAGCTTTTTTTCTTGTATAAACAGCTCCACATCTTTTTCCTTCACTGAATTGATATTCAGCTATAAATTTTTTTTCAGACTTGTAATCAAAACTCCCAGAAATCACCTTGTGATGGCCAGCGCACTCCTGTGGGCTGTGTTAGCTACTCGTGGGGCTCCTTCCACATGCCTGAAGTGAGGGGTTGACAATGGCTCACTTACTGCAGCAGAGAAGACACATGGAATCAGAATATCTTGAGCTGCAAGGGACCTATCAGGATCATCAGCTCCAACTCCTGACCCTCCCAAGAGTCACACCATGTGCCTGAGAGCATTGTCTAAATGCTTCTTGAACTCAGACATACCGAGGATCTTTCTGTTCTTTTAGTGCTTTTAATGGATTAAACTGCGGTAGTTTACTATGAACAATTTACCAGGACGCAGAATTGTCCTGCACACAGTTTACAGCCAAGCAGTTACTGCCTGCTGGGATCCTTCACAATCTGGCATATGTTTTCCATTGCAGATCTGCTTGCAACTAGTTCTGTAACTCTGTAACTTGAGTCACATTCATTGCAGTTGATTAATGAAAAAAACTGCAGTTTGAATTTATAGGTATTTACCCCAGCTGTCTTGGTAAAACTCACAATATTCTGAAGTACTCACAGGCAGCCCATGCTGGGAGGGGAGAAAGGTCTGTTTTAATTACCTTGTTAGCTCAGCTTTTTGTTTGCTAAAAATCAATGCTTTTATTAATTTGCTGCATTATGACTTAAATATGGTAAGTCTTCTATTGTGACAGCAAAGAGAGGACTGAAAAATCTGTGGTAAATTACTTTGGACAAGGATACAAATATACTGGACCAACAGTGCTCCAGAACTGCATTCCTTGCCTTATTTCAGGGCTGAAAATGGAGACCTAATGTTGGACTTTTCCTTGAAGTCTTTTCCATGGAGATTCATCACCTACAACTTCTGTAGAGCACATAAAATTGATTAATGAAGGCCTACTGTTTCTAGCCATTTTGGAGCCTAATGAATATGGTAGGACATTACTGAGCCACTTCAGCTGAACTGAGCTCCTGCTCTCACAGCCCCTTTGTGAATACATACTGATACCTGGAGATCAGAGCATAATCTGCATATGCATCACTCTGCCCCTGGCCTCCCAGAAAATTTGAGGCAGAAATTTAAAATTACCAGCCCAATTGTTTTTCATGTGGTGACAGACCATTATCAGAGCTTGTGAGATGGTATTGGTATTGTTTTGTTCTGTGAGGTACCATTCAAAGGAACCATAACATCCTCCTTACAATGCACTGGTTTTAACCCTGTAACATTTTTTTATCAGGGGCATGAAATGCTGAGACAAGCCACACATTTAAATTGTAACTACAAGATCTATATGTCAGCTTCAAGTGCCTCAGAACATGCTGTGATT